TGTGTGTGTGTGTAGGGGGAGGGAGTTGAGTCACATGATTTCTGAAAAACAGAAACCAATGCCTGGAGAGAAGAGGAGGAGAAACAGGGAAGGAGGATGCAGAAGGAAGGAGGGGGGAAGGGTTTTCGGTTGGTATATGGCTTCTCCTTGTTGTTGTTGTGGCAGATGGTAGCCAGTCATTAGCGTATTGTCACTCTCCTCTGAGGGGCCAGATAACCAGTGAGCACTGCTTGGCGGGGCAGGTGCAACCCAAAAAAAAACACCACACACAGCTCCACCCCCACCACCCTGCCACAGTTGCTGAACTGTGTATATGTACGCACACGGTGTGTGTGTGTGTGTGTAGTGTGTGTGTGTGTGTTGTCTTGGGGTGATGGTGGGAGGGCCAAACTGAAGGTTCATGGGAGTGGTTAGTTCAGTTTCTTCCCAGGTTTGAACCAGAGGATGGATGCGAGAGGAACATTAGATAAAGAGGATTGAATGAGGCCGCTTTTAATGGGAAGAGAAGCGTCAGGAGAATGTTTTACTCTCAAGGAGAGGTGGAATTGGGCAGCCAAGACATTTTGGGGGTAAAATTATTGAGCAGAGATGGAGACTAGTGTGGTGTGGATTTTCTTGTAATGCCCGGATGGAATATCTCCCTTGTCTCTCTCTTCTCAGGGTCTCTCCACAACCACCATGTGGCTTGTTTCAAATGTGGAGAAGACTGACAGTTGTTGGCAGGCAAGAAGGCGTTGCCTGGAGCAACAGGCGCTCTTGGGCCCCATCACCTACCCCTTTCTTGCACGTGCTATCGGGCCCAAAAAACAAACAACGGTTGTACTTATTAGTTGAGGACGCGATTTCCTCACTGGAGCCACATTGAAACGCTAGCCGGAAGGCAAGGTTATGTTACTTATTTGATGTTTGTGTTTTTGAGGGCCGAGGTGCCGTCGCGTCCACTCTCTGTCTCCCCCTTATGTGCTCTTAATTCTCAGGTGCGCAATGAGGACCCAGGGGATTTAAATTCTTAATACCTGTTTTTTGATTTGGTGTTAGTGGAGGGAATGCAGACTATGGTTCTACTCAGGGATAACACGCCCTCGGAATTATTGTTTTCTGGTAGAGCTTGTCTCGTTTGTAACGTCATTGGGGCCATTTTTTTCTCTCTCTCTTTCTCTCTCTCACACACCAGCAACGAAGTGTTGCTGATATTTTGATGGGGGAGGTACGATGCTTGCGCACTGGGTACATCACCCCCCTGATCACGTGGTTTTCTTATTATGTACAAGGACATTTGTTTGTTACAAAAGGCTTATATAACAAGTCACAAACTCTCACTGGAATGACACCGATCGCAATCTCTTTTTGTTTTTTTCCTTTCCTTGTTACTCCTCTAGTCCTCCCCCTCACTCTCTCTCCTCCTCCCTTCAGCCAATAGTCAATTGTCTATGTTGTTGTACATGAAAAACAAAACAGGTCATCCATCCTTCACCATTGTTCCTCCACCTCCCTCTTTCTTCCTCCCCTGCTCTTGTAGCATTGGCCAAAACTCTCCACTAAGTTTACTAAATTTCAATATTTGGGCTCTGTCCTCTGAAACACAAAGGCACCAGGACATAATGAAGTGACAAGACAGTAAGTGTGAGCTTCACAATAGGTGTATGTTCATGTGCCTGGTAAAGTCTTATGTGGTCATAGAATACATTAGCGATCGTCCGCTCCTATGTAAAACTGTTTCATTGGCTTGTTTGTGAAGTTGCTCACAGTTACAAAAAAAAAAAAAGGACTCCTCCAATTCCCCCTTGTCCATCCCACCAGGTTAGAAAAACAAGGGAGCATTCACCCCTCCCAGCAACCTTTGCACACTGACTGCATTCCAGTCCTGAAACCCAGTACCTGACAATTGATAAACAACTGACTCACTTGTTTTTCTGGGGAACCCAATGACTTGCACCAAGCCCCACACTGGCTGCGCTCACAGCGTGAAGAGCCAGCAGAGACAGGGACAAAGAGAGACAACTTGGTGGTGAAACCACAAACAGCAATTAAACTCTTGTATTTCACCATCAGGAACACTGACTCCTGACTCACAATGATCCCGACACTATGTACTTTCTTTTCAAGCAACAGCAACTTCTGACATGCCCCTGCTAGGTCATCTATCCCTGTAAATAATCCCTGCCATTTAGAGACACATGAAAAGCCACTGATGCAACGGTGAACAAAATGGGGTGAAAGGTAATATTTTGATAGCAACTGTTCCTTTCCACAAAGACACCTAGTCATAATGATTGTATGGCTTATTCACACACACACACACCAGCCTCATAGAAGCTAAAGTACACCGTGTTAAAAATAAAAGAACTACAAATACATGTACTTTTTCTAGCTACTTCCACATGCGCATCATGTGTACTACTGCCTGCGTCACTGGATCAGACTAGATGTGTTTTGAAATACTGACGTGGTATAAAACTGCGTCACTGAGGGGAGACCATAGCAGACCATTCACACAAACAGATAACAGCAGCGGGTTTCAAAATAAGATGCCTGCAATATATAATCCATTTAATTATTCCCCTTTTAAGGAGAGCTACAGTCAAGGAATGCAAAAGCAGCATCCGGATATGGATACAGTCGGGTTGTTGTGCACCCAACACTGTTTTGCTATAGTTTTTTTTTATTCCTGAGCTCTTATTTGGAAGGAATCGCGCTCGTTTTCCGGTGATGCTGCTCTAATATCTGTGTGCAGTATGAAGCAGATCAAAGAGCAGGCAAACAGCCCTCCTCAGCATCGAACAGCCCCAAGATGTGTCCATGTGTCATGGGTGTGACGAGTAGGTGACTAATCCTATCTAAACATCACACAGCCTACACCCAACAGCCAAGTTCATAACAACTTCCCTTCCCTCGGCTCCTGTCTGCGTTTACCCACCGACAACTGTTATTGTAACAAACACACACACACACACACGTATGGGTATGTAGGTGTAACTGTGGATGTAAAACGGACGCAATAACTGATTTACGCTGTTTGCTGCATTTGATTGCGTAACATTAGATGTTGTATATTTGTGACGTTGCCAGTGGCTATATTTGCCTCTAATTTGAAAAGCAAAGACACAACCTACAAGCAAATAGTGGGATATTTAGGCTAATGTGAAAAGGCATAACACGGCTGCCCAGAGAAACAACAAACACACAGTGTGTCGCTTTTAGCCAGCAGTCAGTGGGTAGAATCCACAGCCAGTGTTTAACACACAGGCTCTACTGCAGACACACAAACGAAGAGACAAAATGAATGAAGCAGTGTGTTTCCAGCATGTTCTCTGAAAGACTATCCTTATTCCCAACTTTGGAATTAAAATGAGCTCAGAAGTGCTGCTTAGCAACGGGTGGCCTATCTCTGCACAGTGTACAGGAGCACTGAGGCGGATCTCTATCCTACTCAAGCCCTGGCACCACTCCCTTCATGAATGAAAACATACGGCATGAATGAGAGTGTGTGTGTGTGTGTGTGTGTGAGACATATATGAAAACACTCACCTTTCACAGCAGCAGCAGTCTCCTTAAATCCCATGCTGGCGTAGGGGCTAGTGTTGAAACCATTCATGCCTCCCTTGCAGCCACATGCTGCTTTGAACCTCAGAAGTCCATCGCAGTCCCCTAACCTGCATCCTCCGAGGTTTCCCTCCATCAAGTTTAAGGCAATGTAGTTAAGTCCATTCTGATAACCAGCAGACATCTCCCTGCACATGGGGCTGTTGCTGCCGTAGTCCTCGTCAGGTCCCTCAGAGCTGCATACAGTGCGGGATACATTCTCCACAGAGGCAGAGCTGTGCCGTTTGGTGTCATGGGCAAAGGATGGGCACACAGGTGTGACAGTGGTGGTGGAGGAGAAGGTCTCAGAACTGTGCCGCCGGCGCCCCTGAGGGTCAGCCCGGATCACTTTAGCACCCCTGTGTGGATCCACAAGGGTGACGGATAACGAAGGACCCCCCAGGAGAAAAGAGTCCAGTGGCACAGGGGTCACCCCGTCCACAATGCTGCTCTCAAGGCTGAGTCTCTGGACACAGGCAGTGGGGCTGGTGGGGAGGGGAGCAGCATCAGTGGTGCAGAGAGCAGGTACAGGAGCACTGAAAGTCATCTCAGTGTAGTCATCCTTGACTAGAGCCGACTGAGACACCAGGCTCACCTGCTGTTGGAGAGGATATTCCTCTACCATCCCCCTCTCCTCTGCCTGTCCCTCTATGCTTTTTTCCTCTTTTTCCTCCTTGCCTTCCTGTGTGTTCTCCTGGGCGTTCACCAGCGTGGGGCAAGCCGAGACTTCAGGTGTGTGGTTTAGGCACCCTGCAGGTGGAGAGCCAAGGTGACCCGGGGAGCTGACGTCAACATTGGCATAGTCTGAGAGTTGCAGGGATCCCTTCTCTGCATTCATTAAAGTCACAGAGGACTCGGAGCTCTCTGACTCTGTGGGTGCCAGCAGGTCGCGGGTAGCACTACTAAAGTCTATGTTGATGTACTCTCCGGGGCTGCGTGGCTCTGAGGGAAGGGGGTGTTCGCTCATACATGGTAGTGTTCTGAGGGACTCCAGAGCCAGGCGGGTGGGCCGACACACCCTATTCCGGTGTACCAGACCTCCATCTGCCCGAGCCACTCTGAGAGGAGATGGGGCGGAGGAAGGGGTGCTTGGTGTCCCTGGAGAGCTGCTGGTAACAGAGTCTCCTGGAGAGACAGGACAGTAGTTGGACTCCTCTTCTATCCGCTGTCTCTGTAAACTCATCACCACATACTGGTCTGTGTCCATGGACCCATTGCGCTGCAACTGGCCTTTAAGTAAGCGTGGTAGAGAGCTGTAAGAATAAGGCTGTCTGTGATGTTGCTGGGGGTGGGGATCTCCTCCTGGGGGACTGAGGATGTAGTCTGGAGGTGTGAAAGACACCAGAGGGTCAACAGGAGACATGTTTAGGTACTCTCCATTGGTGAGTTTTCCATCACTGCTCTCCACTGACATCTTGGTTCCACACCACATCCGCATATAGCCGCTGTCCTCCAGAGAAACGCTCCCGGGGGACTCTGTGCATGGGGCCAGCCCCACTGAAGATGAGTGTGAACGGGGGTTGATGATCTGCTTTGGAGCAGAAACACACATGGGGCTCATGGGCATGTAGGGGTCATCCTTGGACCCTGGTGTCTGAGGCACCACACCCGGCATCATGGGCATATAGCCACTGTCACCTTTCAGACTGCCAGTGCTGATCTGAACATCCCTGTAATCTTCAGGATAGGTCCCTTTAGGCGAGGCTGTGTGACATCTGCGAGAAGACTGGCTTCCACTGGTGTAAGTAGCTCTCATGAGAGTATACTCATCCAGGGAGGCTGAAGATACTTGGGTGGGACCCCTCTGCTGGCGGGGAGTAGTGAGGGAGTACGTGCGCTTTCGATAAGCCTTGTCCAGCTCTGGTAAACGACGGTAACCATCCTGATTCTGCCGCTCCATCACCATGTAGCCATAAAGCTCACTGCCGTCCCGGGAGGGGGGGGTGTCAGCTCTGAGAGACTCGGGTGTGTTGCTACGGAGGGTGAGTGGTAGCCTCAGGTCCCGTGCGTCTGCCGGGCTGGAGCCATACTCCTCACATGATATAAAACCAGCATCACTGGGGGAGCCTGAGAAGGAGGCACTGCAGCTGGAGGGGCGAGGAGCACTGCTGTCTGGGCAGGAGGAGAGATTCCCCAGGCTAGGGGTGGCCATGGGCGGGGAACGAGTCAGGGGCATAGACATGGACTTACTGTGCTGGAGGGAAGAAGATTCAAATGTCCGACAAGGGCGCGTTGTAATGGTGTGAGATCTGCTCAGCAGGGTCCTGTGGACCCCCGGGCTTAGGGGGCTGCCAGTCACTGACATTGGGCGTGTCATGGTGCCATCGCCCTCGCTGGCTGTGCGTATTCGACAGGAGGAAAATTTGCTCACGGGAGAGGTGGCGGCCATGCTGTCAGTGCGCGACCGCCGGGGAAGCCCGGTCTGGCTGGGGGGGAGATTGTTCAGGTGCCGCCGTGTGGGCACAGAGATGGGGTTTGTACCAGATGACTGGCTTTTGCTGCGCGGGCGGAACTCCGACAGCTCCTTCATGGCTTTCATCGCCTCCAAGATAGTCTCGTGGATATTTTGCGCCACCACAGAGTCGTCAGCCTGCATCCACAGCTCCCCCGGCCCCGTGGCTGCAGATCGACCGACCTCAATGAAGAAAAAGCTGTCGGAGTGGCCGCACCTCCGGATATTCATCAGCTGTAGAATGACTGAGGCGACCTCTGAGTTCAGTTTGACAAAGCTGATAGTCCGGCTGGAGAGACAGAGCCTGTACACTCCGGTCAGATTTCTGCTCTGCCCCAGGCCTTTGGATTTCAGATTGACTTGCCATACCTCCTTGTAGGCGGCGGAAACCGGCGTTATTACACCGTAGCTCGCCTCGTCGAAGCCAACCAGCGAGGACGCAGAGTTGGACGCTGAGCCGTCGTACACTTTCCCCTCTGCCATTAAATCCGTGAGCAGCCGGTACCAGCTCTCCTGCTCCTGCTCGTTCTCCGCCGCCACGGCGAAATACTCGTCCTTGGTATAAAGAGCAATAAGATATTTGTGTTTGGCGTCCGCTCTCTTGTTGATATTGAGACAGCAGTCCAGAGGAATAACTCTCTTTGGGGCCGATTTGTTTTTCCATTTCTTCTCGCTCTCGTAGTATTCCAGCCGGGCAGGGAAACCTTCGCTCGGCTCTTTTAAAACGAAAAAGCGCTTGTGTCCGTGTTTCTGCTTCTTCAGATATCCGCATTTCTTGATACTGTTGTTCACGTTCGTATTACCGGGCGATAACGGCTGGTCTCCGGTGTTTGGCGGACTCGCCATTCTCGTGTCCTTCGCTATCAGACACAATGCTTTCCTTCCCTCGAGTTGCTGAAGAAACGACGCGCTTTATTTTAATCCTTTATTTCCGGAGCCGGTTGTGCGTGCGTTCGTCTTCTCCCAAAGCTGAGCAATAAATAACACATGTCTGCTAGTGTCCGGACTGAGGAGTGGGGAGAGTTGGTGGTGGTGGGGGGGGGGAGAACAACATGTGACGATCTACACATCCAGCTCTGGTTTAAAAAAAAAAAAAACGAGGGGAAAGGAGAAGAAAAAATACACACACCGACAGTGGGCGGTGCGCACTCAGCTCATTGGGCTTATTGGTGGAAACTGGATGAATGCTGGAGTGAGGTGGCTCTGTTCAAAGGAGAGAGAGAAGGAGAAAGCCCTCCTACTATCACTCTGCCCTCTTCCGACTCATTTGAGCGTAGTCAGTCAGGACTGTAAGCTTTATTTATAGCACCTCTGGTCCTGTGATCCAGCATTTGACTACTGTGAACATTTTTTTTTTGATTTTTTTTTTTAATCTAAATATACCAAACTACATGTTCCTGACCTACAAAGCCCACATTTGCGTCATTTAAGGAGTTGAGGTGGATTATAAAACGTAAGAATATATAGTAACCAGAGTTGCTAGAGGGTAAATGAAACGTTTATTTTCTCATTCATTCTTAGGTTGTTTTTGTTTTATTCCTATGAGCCTATTCTTATTCCCAGGGATGTTTTTCCACAACCCCTTGACCATATTTTAACGTGTCTGTAGAGGGAGTCCTTACAGCCCTCCTCTCCAGCTGGTAAACAAGCATCACCTAGTTGAGACTGCAGCTCTGTCACAGGAATTTAATATTCCCTCTGTGTCCAGCAGCCAGAATACATCCACGGGTTTAAACGGGGATATTGTAGCCGCTCTTCCCCTTTTAGGTTTTAAGAGGAAACATCAAAGTGTTGGTGATAAACAACTAGTACAAGAGGGCAGATATAGTGCAGTGTGCTTTATTGCGTAACGCGGTCGCCTTCTGCTTTCTTCATGTTTTTCCCCCGGAGGTAGCTGCTCACTTACAGTCCGTTTCCGACTGCTTTATCTGTGTGTTTGTCTTCCCATTCAGAAACAGCGTGTGACGGCGGCGACAGATATAATTCAGGATGACAGCATATGCCCAAAATATTTGAGGTTACAGTAGGTTAGAGCTTTATCTAGAAAAAAAATAGACCCCCAGCTCCCTCCGCCCTCCAAGCGAAACAGGGGAATGACCCATATAAGGTTATATAAAATGTAAAAAAAAACAAAAAAACATCTGATATCATGATGACGCAAAACATTCTCCTGATCTCGATGCGTCAATGGCTGATAATGTGCGTAATGATGAAATGCGGGAGCCAGCTGGGTACCGCGGTGTGGTGGTGGTGATGAAAGTGTGTAGCCGACAGCCAATAGCTTGGCTTTTACTTCCTGGGGGGAATGAGATTCAGCTCTTCCTGCCCAATGCAGGGATGGAGCGCTTTCACTGATGAAAACAGGCTCCATGGGGATTCCTGACAGAGGCGCCCATAGAAATCAAACTTAGCCCTGAACTCTAATTAAATAGGGATTAATCTACATTCCCACTGCCACTCAATGTACATCATCTGTCAATAATCAGTCATATCACTGTGGTTACATGGCTCATGATGATAACATATTGAAAACTGCCCCCCAACACACATACCACAACCCCCCACCCTATATCCCCATTTTCCTTCACATCCCATAGTGCTGGCTCAGCATCAAAACACCCTGTCCTCAGTGGCAAGGTCAATTACTATGCCTGGTGCAGGTCAATTATGCCACAGAAGAAATCATTTGACTTCTACCACCATGGAAAAAGAATCAAATCAGACAACCTCCTGTGAGCCGTCCCTCAAATAACCTTTAGCTTAAAGATTTGCTCAATGGGCAGCAATAAGTAAATTTTGTGTTCCGCTCAGTTGTTTTCTTTTCATTATTTGAGCAACTGTGTTTACCTCGGCTTTGCCTAAAGTGCTATGGAGGCATATTGATATAAATAGATGTAGCAGAGCTGGCTGCCTAAACCTCCCAGGCTCAGATGTCTCCCAGTAGGATAAGGAGGGTTCCCTGTCTGTTGATATTAGGTTTCTTACATGACAGACATGGGCTTGGGTAGGAACTTTAACGCTCTGTGATAACAAACAACTACTGCAAAATGACTATAAAGTGCTTTATGTAACATTTACTGTATCTACAGTTGCTTAAAACTCAGATAAATTATGAATAGGCAGTCCCTGGATTTAAAGCTCATGACAGCTCGCCTTGTATAATACCATGACCTGACAGTGGCAAGATAAACAGAAACTGAGTGGGGGTAGTGTGAAGTGAAAGTAGGGGCAGAAGGAGTGACTCTTTCTTTTTGCATAACCATTGAAGCATAAGAAATGCATATCAGCTGTCTATAAAATACCAGTAAGGTAGGCTACTGGCCCATAAACTGTGCTGCTTGCAAACCCAATCTGGTTGTGTTGTGATACGTCCTTGCCCTTTTCTTAGGTAACTACATGAATATTTATCACCATCCAATTTACACAGCATGGTGCATTAATTTACAAGTTAATTAAACGGCCAGCTGAAGCTGAGTTACAAGGCTTTAAATGGGCCCTCTTATCGTCTCCTGGTACGAGCCCATTAGGTCTTTAGGTTTATTTATTTAGCAAAAGATAGGGGTGGGACTCCTTCTAAACCTATGGATTTATTTTTTTTCTTAGTGATGTCAAAGCTAGAAATTAAAATGTGAACAAACAATCACACGGATTTTCTGAGTTCATTCAGTAGCCAGTCTGAAGACCTAATCTCATTTAGGCTCTTAAGGCTGGCCTTCAAATACAAACAGCCCTGCGTGCCCCATTTGCTGAGTCACAAGCACATAATGTCTCACCCTCTGCACTGTCACTGTGTGCGACGATTAGTTTCATAAGCTTTCATAAAGCAGATTAGAATTGCCGATCTGATGAGATAAGATTAAGGACAAGCAAGAGGGGGGTAAAGATTACGCTCAGCCATACTCCAGTCACTGCCCCATAAGGCCCTATCAAATGAACAGCACAAACATGTATTGTCGGCATGCAAACATCACACACACTCTTTGCCCACCTCATCTCATTAGTCAAAGGCAAAACAGATTATAACTGAAGCCTGTGGTATTGTTTTGATGTTTTGGATTTGAATATCATCCTATTGTTATTTATTATCTGAGCAGGGGATATTTTTGTGGGTTTTTTTTCAGGACTGTTTCATCAGACTGAATTGGATGGATTAACTTTTGTTGCAATAGTAACTTATTAAGTTAAGTTTAAACAGCTCAAAAAACATGCTTAACGTTGTTTTATCAGCTAATTACTAATCAATTAATTACTTTTACTAATCCCAGCTGTAAAACACAGTTAAATACCAAATCGGTTGCATATTTGTTTAATATCTATAATGTGTGTTAATTCAACAACGCCCTTCCCAGATCCCAAATTAATCAATTGGAGTTTTATAATTAGGTTTACTTGACATCACTATAGGATAACATACTGCACATTTGTTTGTCTGCTTTTATGCACAACACATAAAACATGAACAATTTCCTTATTTGTAATAGCAATGCTTTAAGGTCATTTGTATATTTCTTATATCTCCATCCAAGGAAAGGGTAAATGTTTTTCTACATATTGGGTTTTAAGGTTTTTTATTGGGGTCAGAAGAAAATAAAAAATTATTAAAGAAAAGAAAAAGATTTGGCAATTATTAATAATATTCTAACACATACAGCAGTGCCATACCCAGACAATGAGGAAGTAAAGCAAATGTGAGAAAAATACAAGGATTAAAACTGCAAAATGTGGAATCAGTGTCATCACTCTGGTATGCCAGGGTTGGGGAAGCAGTACGGCTCACTATTAAAACCTGCCCTATTTTTTCTCTTTGAACATTTAACATCTTTCCCTACTAACCCTGTAATTTCTTAAACTCAATATTGTAACCAGTTAATAATAACAGGGGCTGTTTTCTGTGCTCTTGAGCACATACAATATAGATTGCTCCGTTCAATCTCTTGTCACCCATAATTGACTCGATTCTCTAATCAATAAAGCGAACGTGAAATTGAAATTTCTCTTCTAGTTAATTTTTGTCCTGATTGATCACAGGCCGGCCGACCTCGAGCACATGCTGTCGAAGAAAGACAGCATGTGCCAATGGAGATCTTTGTATTATTGGACATGACTGCATGCGCCAGTATTGAGCCACAGCACAAGTGATTACAGTTTTGATGACTTCAGTTAACAAACTCAGTGGAATGGACATAATGTATTTCTGATTAATCTGTAAATTAGACACAGGGTAGGCATGGTTGTGTAGAATTGTACTAGGAAGTCAATTATAGTGGTTGCTGTGTTGTATTGAACACCCCACTCACATTGTGTCATGTGCATATTTGATGAAGAAAAGCTGCAGAGATGTTTGCTTTTTACATTTTAACTCATGACACTTTGCTAAGACCTTTCCATACTGTGAAAAATGTCCCTCTTTACTGTTATCCCTACATTATCTCCTCATGGTGTTCCCACCTCTATTTAATAATTTGTTGTACAGACATTCAAAATTACTTGGGTTTTCTCATTTCACAGGTCACTGAGACAGATATTTATTTGATATCCTCATTAGAAGGGACAGGAGACATATCAGGCAGATGCAGCCATTCTTATTTGACCAGAATAGAAACCAATGATAATATGTTTATGTAGGCTGAAGACATACACAGACAACATATTTATTCATGGGCATCTTCCTCTAACAAATGACTCTCCTGGTCCCACAGAGAGCTGTAACAGCAGCTTGCCATCAGAAACATTAGCTCTCTGTAGCTGTGATTAAACAGATATGAATGCATATGATATTCAGGCTCCATAATGCCATCATCAGTCATTTGTCATAATTATGCATTATCTGGAGTCACGTGGTTTGATATAAATGACAATGATACATTAGCCCCCTCTCTGCCTCGGTCAGAACAGGGGGAATCGTGTGACTGTGACAGAAAGAGTGCATGAAATATGAAAGTCAAGTGTGTCTATGTTGAAACAGAATGATTTTAGAACTAACATTTTAAAAACAGCAGTTCATATTTGGACATTTGAGGCAATCGCAGGACTCAAGATGGTTT